AGAAAGAGGGACAGTAGAGGATAAGAAACAAAGGAAAGAGGAAGAGAGGCCTCAAGAGGATGCCCTGCAAACTACGACTTTGGCCAGGTGTCAGGTAATCAACCGTCTCTTGAAGGGATTGTCGACGACAGAAACCCAACGGCCCCAGTAGCTGCTCCAACAACCACGCGATGACTCCTACGCGCCAGGAGTTGCCAATCAATGTCAACCTGGTGTCCTCCCACGCACGCTGCGCCGTGCTGATCGGCCTTCGGGAGACAAGGACGGGTATAGCCGACTGGAATGCACATCATCGCCTCTCTTTCTTGCACATTGGGTCGTCGAACGGCTCCCTTCTTCGTCCAAAGCAAGTTATGATCCCGGTATTGGTAAGGTGGGAAGCGGAATTGATCCTCTTCCCAGCGTTGGCGCTCGTGCGGCGCACACGGATCCAAGCCTGCCGGCCGAAAACCTGGTTGGTCTCGTGGCCGTGACGTGGTAAACGTGGGGAGCTTGAAGCCTTCCGTGACGAACCAGCCACTCTCCAAGAATGATTCCGCCTTGACCTCAGCCTTCAACTCCACCTCGCCACAACTATGCCAGTCATCAACGTCCACGGGAGTGGTGACCGTGACTCCCTCTCCAGCACACAAGTCCCAATCAACCCAGTAGTCGGGGGCGATGACAAAGGCTGATTCCAGCTGCGTCTATCTTGTAAGGGATCATCTGCACCGCCTCACTCATGATGCTACGATCGTCCCCTGACATGGATGCCACCGATTCCATCAAAGTTCTGACTTGGGCCCAAGGGAACGCCTTCTTGAGGAGGTCTCGGATGCGGGGGACTTCTTGATACAAGCAACTTCTCTCATCCCTGAGAGCGCCCTTCTTTGAAGCATTCAACCCACTTACTCCTTGACATGGGAGACCAGCCCCAAGCAGTACGAGTGACACCGAAGGAAAACGCAACGCAAGTCCCTTGACCAATGTTTCATCAACGGTTTTGACATCGTCATGGAAGATAGAATCAGGGAAGAAGGCCTCAACAACTCTTCGTCCTGTACCCTCCTTTTCAACGCTCAAGTGACCGGCAACCGCAACTCCCAAGCTATCGACAGCCAACCTGAGGGCGCCCAGTCCGTCGAAAAGGCCCACAGTCAACACTTGCAGAGTCTCCCCCTCTCGCGGGAGCTCACCCCGAGTCTCACTGTTCAATGCAGCCACGCCATAGCTGGTCAGACCCTCACTGACACAGATACCCCCACCTGTAGTTGACGCGTCACTGCAGGTCACATGCTCCACGAAAGGGCATCGAAAATCAATCTGGGCCAACGGGGTCAACAGAATGAAAGTGAGCAGCTCTTCTTTGACAGCACGCGGGACAGTGAGCCGGACCACAGGGGGCAACACCTTCAACTTCTCCATGAACCTCCACACTTCATTGAGGGTGGCAAGAAGTGGCCTTCGGAACAGGGCGAAGTACACCAACCCACCGCAGACCACCTGCAGTTCCTTCAACGTGCATTTCTCCTGGTTCACCAACATCCACGCTAGCTGGCAATAAAGCACCACCTTGCTGGGCTTTGGCTGGGCGAAACCTTCAACCCCGTCGACGATAGCACCTTGGATTTCCGCCACCTCTGCACGCACCACTGCTTTCTTGGGGTGACGGGGGATGCCTTGGCTGGAGTACTGCTCCCGTAGGCGTTGCACCGCCTCTGCAACTTGGCCACCAAGAGATTGAGCCGTGGGGGGGATCAAAGCGCTCTACCAGATCGAAATTGTCAAGGTAGACCCTATACTGTGTTCGTGCCCGGCTGCTCACGCGATCCTTTCGCATTTCACTTTCACCGCCTAGTCCACCACTTGTTTGCTGGCTCCAACTGACGATGTTCCTGTGAACGTGTTGTGCGATGGATACACTATTAACAAACCCCATGGGCAGTACACACGCAGTCAGCACGCAGGGACGACCATGCCACTTCTCCGGGACCAACGATTCAGGAACACGACGATTAAATCCCAAGAACTTCTTCCAGGCGTTCGGAATCTTGAATAGATAAAAGAAACACCGGATGTCTTCAGAACTCATCAACGCGACCTCACCGTCATCCATCAAGAAAGTGCCAAAACTGCTGATATTCGGGAGAGTGACAACGTCTCCCACCAAAGAATCACACAACTGGTTAAGTGGTATGAGATTCATGATGAGTCTTTGGGTCTGAACTGTTCCAACGAACTCTCTCTTTCCAACCCCGAACATCCCGTTCAGCCAAGGCACCTTGTCGATGTGGAAGAGCTGGTCCATGGGCATGACTTCGCAAATCTTCTTCTCGAGGAGACCCTCACAAACGGAGAGCCGTTGGAGGTGTCAACAAGGTGGTCTTCAAAATGATCCAGGTAATGGAGGCTTCCATGAGCGCAAAAGTCTCGCAACTCCAGCTCCCCTACCTCGTCAGGTAAAGAACCACGAACACCTTCCCAACTCAGCGTTTGAGCGACGCGGACCTCTTCCGCGTCATACGTCACCCCCCTCTTCGCAAAAAAGTCCTTGAAGTCGAAACGCCCCAATGGTTCCTCCCACACCTTGAAGCGCTCGCATAACTTCCCTAAGTTTTCCACAACTCCGCAAGGTTCTCGGTTCGGCCGAGGTCCATCGCCTCTGCCGCAAGCATAATTATTCAGACCATAGATCATGTCTGCCACTGCCAGTTCCGACTTAGGCCATGGATCCAGGGGTAGAGGGATTGGAAAAAGGTCATCAGGCATAGAAAGCGTGTCCTCTACCGTGTTCTGCATGCGCTCACCTTCCAACTCATTAAGCTTCAACCTGGCCATGGTCATGAGATGCTGAAACTGGTGGGGTGAAACATCTTCTTCTACAACTCGGCTCACGCCACCCCCTTCTTCCGGAGTCTGATGTTCTCTGCAGTTGATGAGGTGCCGTTGTCTCCTGCTCCAATGGCCGGCACCGACTGGGTATCGATCTGACCCATGCCTAGGTCGACACCTCGCTCACCTCCCTCAGCACGGGAGATCATCAATGAATTCACACTCAAATCATCTCCTCCTCGTAGTGCCGTGTGCTGTACCGCGTCTGCCAACCCGGTTGCAGCCGAAGGGCGCGTCAGCGCCCCGTGAAGCTCCTCAAGCCCAAGTGTCTTCCTGTGCTGCCCGCTGCTGTCACCATTGATCCTCGGGAGAGAACGCCCCTCTTCAACAAGCTCTCCCCCCAGACTTGCTCCTCTCAACCTCTTCACTCCTTGTCGCCTTTCTCTTCTTTCTTCTTCCCATCGCCTTTTCGAGCGCCCTTGTCCTTGTGCTTGCCATCTCCTTTGCCCTTCTCTCTTTTTCCTTTTTCTCGCCCTTCGCCACCTTTGTAGAAATCCTTGTCTTCCCAATGCCAGCGACCTGTATTTCGGCGCATGATTCGATCTTCGTTCTGCATCTCCCTGCCTGCCTCGCCTGCCTCGGGTGTGGTCAGCAGTGAAGGACGATCTGCGCCTACAAGTTCGAGCCGGCGAGCGATCTCGATGGCTGTTCCTCGCGACATGGCCTCTAAGGCCTTAGCGCTGGCTGGCCACGTCCATGGCGGCCGCTATGCGGCCTCGCAAGCTCAGGTCCAGGATGGTCGCGAGGTGCAATGATTCTCTGGCGTGCGCCACTCCCATATGAGGTTGCAAGTGCGCCCGAAAATACTGAGCCACCACGGGAGCCACTGCTCCCTCCACCACCGGAACACTGACGTAGCCCTGAGCCGTCATCATCGTCCTGCATGTCCAGAACTGCGGCGTGGGTCAACGCTCCTAGAACACGGCGCCACAGGCGCAACGACCTTCTCTCGCTCTCGAACAGTTCGGAAGTTGCTATGCGCCTCTCTCACAAACTCGAGCTGTCGCTGGACTCCCCCGTCTCCTCCCCCGAAGATTCCTTGCTCCGGGAACGGGAGCCCTTCTTCTTCTTCTTCTTGCCCTTTCTGATCTTTCTGGCTTTCCGCATCAGCTCGTGTCTCACGCTGGCATCTGGGTCCAGCGCTGTATGCTTGAAGACGTCCTTGAGGGGTGCCTCCAAC